GGGCACATGATGGGATACGGTAAGGTTTAGAAATTCTAGTTCACTACTGACAGGGCTCAGTAGATAGCAAAGGACTTGTGTTTGGTCAAGCTTGAAGTCAAATTGAAGTTTTCAAAAGGATTTTTTTTTTTTCCTCTAAATTTGTTTCTAACTGTAATTTGCCAGAGTGAAATAATATGCTTCAGCAAATAAGTACCCTTTAGTCTTTCCCAGTTTCTGTCATTGCATTTCTTAAAGTCAGTATAGTTGGGACACTCACACAAAAATAGACTACTTTCTTCAGAGCTCAGGAGGAGGAATTTCTCCAGCATCTCTTGCCAACTGCTGTTGCGTCTTCTTAGGGGAATGGGAATCAACTGTTTGTTCCATTGTGTCAACTTGACCTTGCCTTTCCCAAAGGAGTAGAGATGGGAAAGTTGTGTCCTGATTGATATTGATTAGATCCAGATTTTGGCTTTGCTTTCATTTGAGCATGCTAATAATGAATAATGTGACCCTACCAAAAGGGAGGGGGCAGGAAAAAGAGCCTTGTGAAGGACTTCATTACAAAGGTTGGTAGGCCCTCCTGTGATCTTCTTAAGTACTTTATCCTGCCACCTGGCACTTTCTCCAGATTGTCTGGCTTTAATTTATGTCTTGTCTATGCCAGAAAGCAGGAGACTTGGAAAATGGTAACAATTGAATTAAAAACCAGACAAATAGAAACTGAAGGCTGATGTTAAAGCCTGTATGACCTCTCTCTCAGACACCTGCAGCTTAAAGCTGCTACAGTTTTTTCTTGTTAACCCATTGCTTTTTGGATGAAAAAATACTTGTATTGTGTTCCTTGTTCTACTGCTGTTCTTTTAATTGTAAGAAGGTTTGCAATTCAGATTTGACTTTCCTTTTTGCTTCTTCTCCCCTTCAGTGTATCAGGTTTGGCAGTTTGGGCATGACCTCAAAGTTATTTTTGCTCAAACGCAGAGCAGTGTGTTAAAGTTGGAAAAGTCTGTTTAATGGCTGGGAAAAAATGGCAGAGGTTTCCATTTGGAAGCCTTATAAACATGGTTGCTTGCTATTAGAACAAACATACATTACATTTGTCTAATTTCTTCTAAAAAATTAGAACTTCTGAATTTTACTGCAGAAAATCTCTTCCTCTACATAAAAATGCTTCCTTTCTCTTGTGATTTTCTTACCCTTTTACCAAAGTACTACTGTTTCTGACTTCTTAGTCTGCCTTCACAATGACGGGGTGTTTATGAATGGAATGAGAAGGTTAGAAGCCTCTAACGTCTTGTTTTCCTGCTGTTTGTCCTGGGATAAGTTCTTTTTTCCTTCCTCTGTGGACTAAAAATTCTTTTTGAACTATACTGCCCAAGCTCTTGGCTGGGCTGTGGAATGATGCCTTAGTTGTCAAGGTTTATGACAGAGCCTTGAGGACTGATCCACCAGCAGGTCACTGTAGGGCTCTTCTCTTGGGTTGTGTTTTGTTTTCGGACTGCTCGGGCCTGGCATCTGTGTTACTTTTTGGGTAATGATAATAAAATTCTGAGAAAATGAGACTGTGTGAACTTGTCAAGAGTTTGTACAACTTGCATGGTATTGCTGAACAGCGTATTTGTTTGTATGGATGTGTTGATATGTGTAATTTAATAAATGTATATTTAAATAAACTACTTTTTTAAATAGTTTTGGTGTGATTGTGAAGAGGCTTCTGTACTGTATACTATTATTTAAGGTGCACTAATGCAGTATTCTGTATTTAAAATGTTAAATTTCAACTAATTCTGTAATATTATTAAGTTTAAAGAAATCGTCTATGTTTAAGACTGTTGCTGATGTCATTCAAAATGTGGATTCCACATGTGATGTGGATTATTAGGTTTTTTTTTCTAAATGGAAGATGTCACCTAAGTGCTTGTGTTGCTAATCATAGTTGGTGATGTATTGTAAAAAGAGACATTACAAATCCTGTCATTTATAATTTTAAAAAAGTTAGATAAACTTCCTGTATGCAACCACGAAAGCTTTTTTTTTTTTTTTTTTTTACTTTTTTTTTTTTAAATGAAGTTATGAATATTAGGAACTTTGCTATTACAGGAAGCATCGGTTGCAGATGACTCTGCAGAATCGGAAGGGATAACTGATACTCAGAAACGTAGGGAAATACTTTCAAGAAGGCCTTCATACCGGTAAGGACTTTTGATTTTGATTTTGCTGGTTTTTAACTTCAGCTTATGTGTAACAGCAAAACTGTCTGATCAAAGGCAGTGACTTAGTTTCCCATGGGTATGGAATTTCAAATATGTCAAAGTATCTCTTTTTCTCTTTCAGAAAAATTTTGAATGAACTCTCTTCAGATACTCCTGCAATCCCAAGGATTGAAGAAGAAAAGTCAGAAGAAGAAGGACCTGGAATTTCTCCACTGTCCATGCCAAGCAGCCTGTATCATTCTAGCACAGGGCAATTCAGTATGTTTGCAAAGATACTGTGTTTTGTTGCAGAACAAAATAGGAACAGTTCTTTTTCTTAAAGTTCTATAATGAAATAGAGATGTCTTGCTGAGAAGAATGAGAACTTCCCTACTTCTAATTAATCCTGATTTTTATATTTCATTTCTCCTGATGTGGGCACGAAAAACGTTTAGTCTTTTTCCTATAGTGTTCGTTGATTACTTGACTTAGTCCTTCTGGGATTCCTACGCATTAAAAATGTGGAGGTGAGGCCTGGGTGCTGTGCCAGATGTTGGCACTGGTCTGTATTGTATGTGAATGTGCAGTGTTATAAATCCCTGTGGTTTCTTAGCACTGTGGTTTGCTGTGTATTGGTGTTATTCATGAAATAACAATTAGTGAGGTAGTTTTTTAAAGTGTGGGACTGGAGTATGAAATTTTTTCTTTTTCTCTGGCTGCCACGTTTTAACTCTGTTTTAATTGTACCATTAACCTAAACTGTTGTCTCCAGTATTTGATATTTCATCCAAAATCAAGTTCCAAATTGGTTTCATAGTTCGGTTCTATGGAACTTTTTTTTTTCATTCCTTTGTTGATGTTGAAAACATGGCATCACTCACTCCCCATAGCTTCTTGTGCTTAATCATTGATCACCTAAGAGATACCTTCCTAATAACGATTTTTTAAATTTTGTGTTTGATAATGCTTTGCTCCTATAGGTTTTTTTACTTTTGTTTTAATACTTTTCTTGGTGTAGGCATGCTGAATGTGGGTATTTTTCCTTTGATATAATGACAGGAAAATTGGAAAAGGCCTGTTGTTTTCTGAAAAAGTCTTTTGAAGACAGAGGGCATCTATTAAAACATTAACAACAGAATATACAAAAGATAGAACAGCTCCCTCTGTGCCACGTGCCAGTTAGTCACTTTTCTTCAGTTATTTTTAATGTGTACAACTGAAGTCATTATAAAATCTGAGACAGCAGACTTTGCATATATCTACTCTTCTGCATAGAAAGTAATGTTGCTTGGACTTTGCTAGCATCTGAAGTGCTCTTTTCCATGCATTTCCTGCCATGCTAAATGGCAGTTATCCAGTCCAGAATCTGCAGCTCTCCTTGATCGAATTAATTTTATTTTGTTTACTTGTGTGATGGTGGTGCTTTGTTTGTTTGGCTTTGATTTAGCTTTAGAAAAATATGCACTCTTTCCAGGCTCTATAGAGTTTGCATTATGCTCTAGTGAGCTTTCAAATCTTTCAGGCTTTGGTTTCTTAATCACATGTTGCTCTGGGAAACCAGACTTGTGGTTTAACTAGCAATAAATTGCAGGAAATCATTCTCATTTATTAAATTAAAGGATGTTTTAGTTTGAATGTGCCAATAAATAAAAAATATAAATCATGGAGAAGTATGTAAAAGAACAAGAAATTCTCATTTTTTCTTCCTTGTTCAAGCAAACTTTTACTCTTGAAAAATCAAGAAGCAGAGAGCATCACCAACAATGGGCTTGAATTAGCAAAATCCATAAAAAATTAATTAAATCTGATTTATATTAATTCAAGCCTGGCTTTAGCGTGGACCAAATATAGAAGAATTCTGTTTTTTCATTCAGTGTGCTTTATTTGCGATGTAAAATATTTGCAATATTTTTAAGAGAACTGTATTTATTTACTCATTTTTATTTAATGTGTTCTCAAATGTGAAGAGACATTGCTTCAGGATGTCAGTCTTCGTAGGTCCTGCTGATTCTGGCTTAAAAAAATCATTTTTACCAAATTCATTTTGAGAGCCTTGTCTTCCCAGAAATGGCTTCCATATCCAATTCATTACTTTGATATTTGATGTAAAAAATGATATTAAACTCTTCTTTACAATGCTGCTCATTGCTCAGGTGCTCAAAGATACTCCTTGTCAGAAAAGTTTAGATCTGGGGTTAGATTCAAGTGGTAGCAAGGTTGGTCATCTTGTAGTAGACGCAGTCCTAATTTGGAAAGCGTGGCTGTTTACTTCTGGTTCTTACAGTTGAAAAGCAAAGATCCTCAACATTTCTGATCTGCTGTGCTGTTGGCTGCCCATGATTCTGAGCAACTGCTGTCAGCTAAACCCAGGGACACTGTGTGGGAATGCAACATTCCCTGTGTTGATTTCAGCCTGGATATGAAGCAGGAGCTTGCTACGTGTATCTGTTTTAGCTTTGTTTCCTGTCAGTTGTTTTTCTACCTCTGCTTATCATTACTGTGTTTGAGTACTCTCTCCTTGGCCACAGCTGATTGCATGGGTTCTCCTGTGTATGCAGCCAGCAGTTTATAAAGATTTTTATGGTGTGCATGGCAATGAAGAACTGATCTCATGGTGTCACTGTAGAGATCTGTACTGTGGCCTGCTTTTAAAAAAAACCGTATGTTACTGAATTTACTGGTTCCTTGTTTTTCTCTATTGTTCTCCATATTCCTGCATAGAAGAGGCAGAATAGCCGAAAAGGTGGTCTGGACTTTATGTTGGTGTCTGGAGGCATGGAATGATTATTTTTGGAAAAACTAGATAAGTAAATGTATCTTAAAATCAAATATATTTTTCTGTTATCAGTGGTGATGGCTGTTCTTTCCTTACTTTACACCAGCCGAAATGCTGTGTTGCCATGGTTTCCAAATGCCATTTTCCTTACAACTTCTTGGCTTTGGCTTGTGGAAGCAGACGGGTTGATGGCATGGCCAGCCAGATAGAATATCTTTCCCCGTTACATCCATCAGCAGGGATGTTGATCTTTCTGTAAGGAAAATATATATCTTTTCGTAAGGTGCAAGCCACGTAGCCTGTTTTGGCTACAAAATGACTCTACTGGCTGTAGTTCTATCATACTGGTTATTGAATACTGGAAAAAAATTGTTTTCCTTCACCTGTGCTGGTGGCCTAAGAGTTATTTGCATAGTTGGTGTGTGGTGATATGTGCGCGCGTGTGTGTGTGTAAGAGGGAGAATCAGCTGTCCTTCTCTCCTTTTCTGCCTCTTTGTGCAATTTCGGATGTTCTTCCAGGAGCAATGCAGGGAAAATGAAAATAGATGGCAAGTTCTTTTGCCATCTATTTGGATTTTTTGCTATCTTTGGATGGGTTTTTAGCAGTTGAGGCATTAGGAAATGTACTGGGAAAGAGCAGCTTTTAGTTTCTTTTCCCTGTCTAGGTAGAGATGGGAAGATCTAACCTCTTTCTGAATTACAGGTGTTAATCATATTCAAAGAATTGTGTTATTTTCATCTTCAGTTCTAGCTAGAGGGGAAGCTGCCACTTAAATCCACCTGCATCATGTACAAGACCAGGGAATGTCTGGGAATATTGTATTGTCTTCTGTGAAGCCACAGTTTTGAGCAAAGGTCCAATACAAGAAATACCTGTGTTGTGGTTGGGCTTAGGAGAATTACTAGGCTGAGGAGGAATGTTATGATCTTAATATGATAGGAATCAGTCCTGTAGGGGAAATGGTTACCGAAGTTACATTCACTCTTGTTTCGAAAGTATTGGGTCATGAATTGAATCAACAGTTGAACTGATTTTTATATATCTATTAATTTATTTGATGTGATATGCAGCTGTGGTGGTAAAGGCATACTGCTAACTCTTGTATGAGTTCAGTGTTTAAGTAAACGTCCCAGGGAGGTGGAGGTGATGGTGGCATTCTGCTGGGAAGTGCACGTGCCACTGAGAGCCTCCAGTTGCCTTGCTGTTGTCATGAACAACAGAGAGACAGTAGTCCATTTCTCTTTTCTCTGATCTGTCCCCAGATGGGGCATTTTCTGCTTTGAAGGACAAACAAAGGCATCGTCTTGCTTACTTATTTCTTTTTATGTTATGACTTAGGGAGCTTGCATTAGTGTGCATCCAGTTCATTGTCATGTATTCTTCACTCCAAGGGTGGGACAGGAGGCCATGCTGAACTTGTTGTGGATAAGGCTCAGGGCTTCTTTCAGCCTAAGAGGATTTCCCCATTCTTCCCCAAAAGAAAACTGTTTAGCTGCAGAGATTTGGCCTTATGCTTTTAAAGAAATTATCTGAGGTTTTAGTAGATTGCTACTGTTCTACAATTCACTAGAAACAGTTGAGTAATCCACTAATCTCAAGACATCTTCATCTACATGGAATCATCTGTTATCAACTGTCTACCTTCAAAATTTATGTGGATATCTAACAAATCACATCAGATGCCCAGGACGGTCAGGAATGTCACCATCAAGTATTGCGAACCTGACCCTAAAATCAAAGGAGTTATCAGTCCTGAATCAGTAGTTGTGTATAGTGTTTCTTACACCACTTCAAATACAATGATGTTTGTAGTTTTAAGTAGCTTTCTGAGGAGAAATAAGTTAATAGCTTCTTGGGAATTGGGTTCTCTTTTAAAATGTTCCCGGAACATTTTTTTCTGCTCTTCTGAGGACAATGCTAATTTCAAGAGGAACATACAATTAACAAACTGCAGGAAATTTTGTGTTTGTCTGAATATTTAACCAGCTGATTACACGGCATTATTTTTTATGGGGTGTGTGGGAACTGCTGAGTCATGGCCTGATTGAACACCTGAGGTGAGCAATGAGTCAGCCATGGGAACACAGGTGAAGGCAATTCTCCTGTGCTGCTGGAAGGGCTGGAGCCTGGCTGCACCTCTCTTAGACCCATTTAAGAGCTGGCTACCAGTGGGGAAGGATCTCTTCTGGAGATCTCTTTGGAGTTTTACAGTGAGCCCAGGACGAGAGTAAGCGTTCTATCTATTCTCTTTTTGTTTAGTCAAACTTTCTTGTTTATTTTGTAATTGTAACGTCTGTATACCCATTGATTTTACAGTGGGGAAAGTGTATTTTTCTTATTGTTGACCAAATGGAAGCAGAGCTTTGTTCTGTTTCTCGTTTTATGTAAGAATCTGAGCAGTTTTATAGGACTTGCAAAAATGTTGGTGGCCTAAACTTCCACTTAAACTAAGGAAAGGAGGTGGAGCAAGGGCGAGATGAATTCTTGTTCTTCTCTCCAGGCAACCTTGGTTTTATGTTGTGATTTGATAAAGAGTTTTTTTTTAAATAACCTTTTAATACTAGTATTTAAAACTTTTGTTCTTTGTGGCTAGGAGTTACCAGTCTGTTTGTTTGTTTTCACTTTGTATTAAAATTACTATAGGACCATTAATATTGCTGAATGTACAGTGGACATATGTAGGCTTCTGTTGCCTTTTTTTAGGTGGTTTTTTTTTTGTTTTTTTTTTTTCCAGTTAGACACATTCATGTACTACATAACAGGCATTATGTTTGAGGACAGCAGCATTAAGGTTATACAATTAAAGAAAAAAAAATATTTAAATACAGTTGCTCCTTAAGCAAACAGGAAACCCACAGTCTTAGCAAAACTATGATTATTTTCAAAAGGAAAATGCATTTCAGCGTGTTGTACTTCTTTCTATTGCCTAACCTGCCTTTTTCTTTTTATGTTCAGTTACTATAACTCCAGGTGGTACAATCCAGATCTCTAATCCACCTTCTGATGGTACCCAGGGACTGCACGCGTTAACAATGACAAATTCAGGAGCTCCTCAGCCAGGTGCTACCATTGTGCAATACGCAGCACACTCATCTGATGGTACACAACAGTTTTTTGTTCCTGGAAGCCAACTTGTTGTTCAAGGTATAGTTTACTGCATTTTTTTTTTTTATATGAAACATTTATTCTTACTAGACTTTTAGTTTTGTGTTCACAATATTGCACTATGAAATGTTGTTGTTTATATATACCAGGATAGAAGAGAGTCTTTGAAGAAGACTGAGTTTCTCTCTTTGGGAAAGCAGCCATTTCTGTGGATCAAAAAAGCTACTATGAGAAGCAAATAACAAGATAAAATTACCCTCTGCTTTTAATTTCCTTGTCCAGACTTCAAGTGACATGTTTAATTGAAGTAAAGACACTTTTGTAGACTCCCTCATCATCTCAGTTCAAACTGTATCTCATTTAATACGTAAAACTATTGTGGTTGTTTTTGTTTTTTTTCTTTCAGCAGTTTCAGTCTTCATACAGCGCAGGTTCTGAAGTTACTTGGAAGTCTTTAAGGCTATTTTTAGGGCAGAATTTCCTTGCAACTTTTAACTTTCTGTTATTAAAAAGGAGATCCTGTATTGAAGCTAATTTTCTCCCTGAGTTTTTGTACTTTTTAGGATCTCTAAAATATACACATGTGAATTAGTGAATTCTCAAGCCTTCCTATAGTTTATCCAGAGTTTTCTTTCTGTTCACTGTTCCCACTCCTTCAGAAGGGCTGAAGGAGATATGAACCAAGCATATCTTGGATTCTGACCAATACCAAGGAAAGTGAAGTTGGGGTTTTAAGTTACTTTCAGGAAATTTTCTGGAATCAGGTACAAGGTCTTCTGTATAGACACATGAAAATATTGGCTGCTATGGAGCCGTATGCTAAGTAGGTATTCAGAGTGGATAAAGGTTATTGACTACATACTGATGGATACAAAATCTTCTAGTCCAACTTGCTTGCAGTGGGCAGGAATACTTCCTACTGGAGTGGGTTGCCCAAAGCTCAGGCCTTGTACAGCTCCAGGGATGTTCCACCACTCCATTGGTGACCTGTTCCAGTGCCTCCCTGTTCTTTGAGTAAACATTTTCTCCTTTGGATCTGATCTGAACCTACCTTGTTTTAGTCTGAGATAAACGGGGAAGTCTGGGTTAAGAATTTTTTCACCCTAGTGTAGATGTGTAGAGTAAGTTTTGTCTTTAAGGGGATGTTTTTCTTTCTTTGCTGTAAAGGTAGCTCAGAATGTAAATAAAGCTAAGAGCTTGTAAATACTTGAACTTGTTGAGAATGTACTAAATAGTTGTACCGAACCTGATTTGTTTTTTTCTGGTTAATTATTTGCTGAAATACAATGTCTTTCTAATACTTTTAAAAAGCATTTCAAGCTAAGTTTAAGAGTAATATGAAGAACTCTGAAATGAAATGTTAGCCTTCACAATGCATACAGTATTGTTCTATCTGCCTCAAGCGTTACCAGGAATATGTTCTCAGCGAAGCCTAAAGAACCAAATTTGTTTTTTCTCCATCCAAATTTCCCATTCTGGCAGTGGAACATATTTGAGTGTCTCACTTGCAATGGAAGCTTTCAAAATGGATTCAGAGATGGTTACTGAATAGCTGCTGCCTGTTTCTGGAAGCTTCTAGATAGTTACAACTAAATTAATTTGTTGTCTGTTCATGTTTAGAGAAGTTGAATTTTTCTAGCGTTTGCTAGAGTTCATTTTGCCCAAACTCTGATGCTTCAGTGAGGCTTACAGTTGTTGACATAGAAGAAAAATTGTAGATAAAATATAAAGGAAAATATTCCCAAGGATTACTAAGTGGTCATGAGCTCTGAAAGAGGTTTCAAATTATTATACAGTCTGGTACTGAAAAATCATTTGGAACCAAAAAAAAAAAAGTATGAAAATGCCTGAAAATGTTTAAGCTAAGAGAGATGTTGTTCTGCTAAGCACATATCATCAACAAACCTGAGTTACTTGCAGTGGAGTGAAACAATGGGCTGGCAGGTCTTTACTGCGGGTCAGATTGCTTGGTATGTCAGAAAGTCTGTAGGTATATAATTGATGAACATCTGTTGTCAGTGCACGCTTGGTGGTTCCCTGTATGCCTGATATGGTGATAGCGTAGCTTATGATAGAAAAACAACATTCTACTTAGTAAATTTTCACCTTCAACCTGTGCTTGATATTTTTCTGAAGACTTGTGATGAAATTGAAGGATGAATATAAAAGGGCAGGGGTCCCTGGGTGAACCAACTGTGGTACTTTGTTAGCTGCCCGTTTACGTTCATTGGAAAAACAGGGCAGTTCTGATGTCATGATGGTTTCCTAAAATGGATCCAAGGTTTTTTTGCCAGCTGAAGGAAGTGAAGTGTGTAATTATTAGTGAAAATGAGTTTTGGAAAGTTGCATCAAATGGTATTCTGTGGATCGAGGTGTGTTTTCTTAACATGAAATATTTGAGAGATCTGTGGCTGGTACTTCTGGTGTACTTCAGTTCTGACGTTCCGTTCACGTGACACTGAAGCAGTCCCAGGATGACAAGGAGAATCCTTCATTGCACCGATGCTTTCATTTTTACTGTCCTTGGCGTAGTTCCACGGCTGATGAATTGCCAGTCTAAATTGGTTTATCACAGACAAGGGCTGTGCTCTGTGTGCAGGAAAGTACCTGAACTGTGGGTTTGAAGCAACAGCCTTTATAAAGCTGAGATGCTTGTTCATTGATTTATTTATTTTCATAAGCCAGCCAGTTCCCTTGCACTTTTTGAAGAAGGAGGGGATAGGTGAAGGGGTTGCCCTTCTTCAGGGTTACTGTTCTGCCTGATAGAGCATCTGAAATCCCTGGAGTTTTTTTTCAGTCTCTTCTGAAGCTTTTAATTGAACTGAAATGAGTGGGCTGTGGTCTTCCCCTCCCTTTCCCTTCCTCCCCCCGAGGAGCTGTATGTAGCCTTTCATTTATGGATTTGTTACAGCTTGTTAAGCTCTCTTGCCTTACATGTCTGTCGGAGTTCTGCCTTCTGGTGGAGCTGCTCGAACCAAAACAATTGCACGTGTCCCTTTAAAATTTCGCTGTTTGCTGTCCAGTTGTGATTTAATCCTTTTGAATCATTTATGAGTTCTGGAGTCACTTTGAATTTCTGTCAGTCGGTTCTGTGTATCTTGGTCTAGTTTTACAGCCAACTCTGTGGTGAGTGCTTTATGTATAATTGAAGGGAAGAGAACAAAGCTAGGCTTACAGAAATATGGAAGGGGGAAAAAAAAAAAAGAAAAAAAAAAAAAAAAAACGTTTACTGGAAAAGCAGCAGTTGTTTGGGCTGCAGTTTCAGTGAGCTGTTCCAGTGACAGAGCATATTAATGACAGTGGTAGGCAAGTGAGGTCACTGTGATGTCAGTGCTCTTGCTTGTAATCCTGCACATGCTTGCTAGTTTGGAACAGTTCATGCTGAGCTCTGGGAGAGGAGCAGGAGAACTGTGCTTGCAGGGGCTGAGCATGGCTGTTACAGGAGATGAAACAGGTAAACGTTCTATTAGTCTTTTACTGCATGTTGTGGCTGTTTAAGCAGTGCTTAGTTGGAGTTTGTGGCATTTTTCTTTTCAACTTGTTGCTGTAACTCTTCAATCTCTCACAACTGACATAGGTGGGTTCCGGCTCTGGCTGAGTGGTGTTAGTTCTCAGTGTAATTTTATCAGTTTCATGTGAGGTGAAGAAATTGGTGTGAGAGTTGTTGCACAGATTGATGCAGGTAACGAATCTTTTTTGTTTGATGGAAGATTGTGTTGAAAAAAATCCACCACTCTTTGAATTCCTGTAATATGGAGATAGTGGCTATGTTTGTCATTGTGTTTTGTAGAAATGACACAGTTTTTTTTTGTTTAGCAATAAACCCTGTAGATTCAATAGCTAGAATAGGCTCAAACGTAGCAGTAAAAGAAAGGCGTGTGCTGTTATGGTCGTGTAAATAAACCCTTTTACTTTCCTTATTAAGGAAAACAGTGAACATGAGCAGATAGAAAAGCAGCAGTTTTAAGTACTGCAACGTCTGCGTGTTTTCTCCTCCGCTGCTGAAATGGTCTGTTCCTCTGCTAATTGAGTTCAAAAGGCTGACGTCATTAGGCTTCCTGGAATCGTGTTGCAGTAGGGAACTGGAAAAGTTAAACTCCAAACAAGATACACATTGACGTCAGCCCCAAGTCATGCTGTGATTTAGTCAGTTCCTTTCTGCTTCGTCAATTGCCTCTGGCTGAGCTGTAACATTAACCAGTTCGCAGCCGGTACCTACGTGCTGCTCGGTGCTGGCATCTATTTTTTCATCAGCCTGAAGATACTTATCTTCTCCGAGTCCATATTTTGTGCTCTTGTGCTCAGAGGAATAGTGATTCATGGCTTGCTTAGCTAGTTTAGTGGCCAAGTTTAAAGCCCTCTGATAATTTAGTCCTATCATTATGACTCAGAGGAAGGGAGCGTAGATACACTAATGCATAGCATGTATCACGTTTTTTTTCTCCTGGAAAGGCACCATAAGAACTCCAGTGTAGGGATGCTCTCTAGTGTTCAGAAAGTTATTTTTTCCAAGAGCTTGCTATTACAAAGTGTTGGATTTATTGTTATTTATTGTTATTTTTTTTTATGGCTTCTGTAATTTTTTTTTAACTTCTCAGAGCTTAACTTACAAAGGTATCTGTGCTCTGCTGTGAATGTATTTTTTCTTTGTTTTCCCTAATAACTTTCTTGAAGTCTCAGCTAAAAGCAATTTAAAGAGGAAAAAAGAAAGATTTATTGGGTTGATGGGCTGGGGGAAGTGCACCAATTCCAGGTCAGTTAACATGCTCACCCTGTATCTGATATGCAGCGATCCCTTTAAAGCCCCATGCAGTTTCACTAGAAATGAACACTGCTCTTAGAGACGTGTTGGCCTGGACCAAGGTGTGGGTTCTTTGTCTCATACTGAAGTGGAAGGTACTGTTGTATGTAGTACATCTATTTATTAATAGATTTAAACAGTATGGATTTTTTTAAGGGTTTTTTGTCCTTCCTTTTGAAAGTCTGTTTCATTTTTACAAATGCCTATCTGAAGAGAAACAGTACTTTATAATATTTAAAGCTATTACAAAAAGTTTTGCAGAATTAGAAATAATTGCTTAGCAATCATATCAGTTACTTCCTTGTGAAACAGATGTTACGGTCTGTAAGCACCAAAATTACTATGTTACCACACTTGTAGATTCATATGCGAGGCAGTTGTTAGGCAGGGCTGGGCACTTTGGAAGCTGGTCAAACTACTGATGCACTGTGTTGTTGCTTACTTTATGCTTGCTGATCTCAGCTGAGATAGGGATTTTTTGAGTGTGCAGTAGGTACTTTATTGCAGAGTCCTTCTCACAGCAGCAAGTGCTGTTGGCAAACATCTGAGGGGAGATCAGGTGCAGGCAGCAAAGCAGCTGGTGCTGCCAGGTGGAGATGACCTGGGTAATGGGTATTTCCCCGTGATCTGATCTACAAAATGCTTTGCTTGGATTTTTAATGTGAGCCAAGATGATCTTGTTTTTTCTTCCTCTTTTTGAAGATAGAGAAAAGCAGTTCTTCCGGTAGTGTTTATGAACTGCATGTAATGTGGCCAGTAAGCCTAGAGACACTATAAAATTCTGTTTTTGATAATACTAAGCTGAAGTTATATCTCACTGACATAGCTGGGGCTGCTAGCAGATGGGAAGAACTCAAACCAAGGGTTAATTCATTTGGTGATATGTGAGAAGACCAAGGCTGCTAGGCTGTGCTCCAAGGCTGTCCTCCACTGAGTTCTTTCCCTGCCCAGCTCCAGCAGATCAGCTCCCTGCCGCAGCTGAGCTGGCAGCTCTGTGCCCTGCGACCTGCAGGGCTGTGAGGGGGGAGCAGGCTGCTGAAGCTGGTGGAGGGGTTTGAGATGTGGCTGCGATTCAACACAGTGCACAAACTTTAATAGATGAATAGTATATAGATATATGCACTTCTAAGTTGAGGATTTGGATTTGGTTCATTTTTTTTCTCCTGATGTTCTATTATGTTGCTTTACTGCTCTGCCTGCCAGCCTCCCACAAACTGTTTTTGCCTACAGCAGGGGGTTGGAGCTAATTGGTGTTTAATGTCACTTCCAACCAAAGCCTTTCTGTGATGCTATGATTTTATTTTTGCAATGTATTTTGCTGGTGCTTTAAGTATGTAATGAGTATAGCAGCCCCTGAAATTGTTCTTCATATTGAACTGTTTTTATGACAAAAATGGATGTTGTGTTATTTGATGATACGAATTACTTAGGAGTTGAATGGGCAAATATTTGCTTAAAATTTTAATGGGGGGAATAATATATATATATATATATTTTTTTCCTACGTCAGTCCAGACAGGCGCTTAGGACTCAGTGCTTGAAAGTTGAAACACATAGTATAGGAGCAAAGTGTTTTAGAAATATAGAAATGAGGTGCGTATATCAGAAAGGTATCGGTTCTGAATTGCAGATCAGATTTCACATCTATGTTTAGCATGGGAGAGCTCAAAATTGGCAGGCTCAGGGGGTGAACTTTTGCACTCTCCTTTACTGCATGGCTACATCTCTTCCTGTGTAACAGTCACTCCTTTTTCTTGCCTGCTGGTCCCTGGCATCCCATTTGTGGTTCTCAAAGAATGTGCTCCTGTTCACTATGCATGTATGTTCCTTTTCATTTTGGCAACAGCAGCTCTCACCAGTTTTCCGAGAGATGCCAGTTTGCTGGTAGGTCTGGTGCTGTCACAGAAGAGGAGAAAGCTGAGTCCTGTGTCAGCTGTTGGAGGACAGCCATAGCGTATTACCCTCTGTGGCTGCACCAGAAGGACCATCTTTTTGTAGAATTTTACCAAAGGAAATTAGAGTGAATGCTCAGACAGCATTTCTCTAACACTTTTCCCTGTGTCGTTTGCGAAGAGCCACATGGAAGCTTTGACAAGCTTCGTTCTGATTGGTGGGACCACATGCTACATCAGTTTAGATGATTCATTTTAGAGTATAGAAATGAAAGCTAGTAGGATAATGTATGTAGTTGTGATGCTACAGGCCTGTGAGATAATTCATGTAGATAATTCATCACGGGTAACTCATCAACAGAAATGTCTTCTTTCTAGGAAGGCTTATGCGTAGTTTTTTTGCCATGAAGTTTTACATGTGATTCTTTAATACAGCTGCCACTGGAGACATGCCGTCCTACCAGCTTCGGACTCCCACTACTAACTTACCTCAGGGAGTGGTAATGGCAGCCTCACCAGGGGCTCTGCATAGTCCTCAGCAACTGGCAGAAGAGGCAACGCGCAAGAGAGAGCTGCGGCTTATGAAAAATAGGTAAGAGCACCTCATTAATAGCTGCTGTCGGGAAAGTAAGACCCTAAAATAACAAAAACAAAACTAATAAATTCACATTCTAATAATGTTTTTTTCTTAAAGTCACAAGCCCTGTCTGTGATTGACAAAGAAATTCTTTGTGAATCATTCCATGTGTTTATAGGACTGATAAATATTGGTTTTACCTACATGGATTTTTAGTCTTTAATTTTATGGTATTTCAAAAATCAGTGTTGATGTTGTCCATTAGTGGTCATCTTTGTAATGATCCAGATGTATACTTATTGTTGAAAGACATATTTCCCTACTGACAATAAAATGACTGTTATGGGCATGCTTCTCTTGCAACATCCCAGGGAAGAACTGGTAAGAACAATATCTGAGAATCTCTTTAGCAGCTATCTATAATGCTGTGAGGAAGACTCAGGCTATAACTTGATGATAATTGTAGAATTTTCTATATACCTGCCTCAGATAAGTTACTATACAGTGCTCCTGTCATTTAGAATATTGTGTGGAGTGGCTGTATATATTTTAATTAGTTAGCATGTAATTAACTATATGCTGTGACTATCTGTTATATAACTGCCTTTATCTGCTTATTCTTGTTATTTTTAGGGGGCTTTCTCCCTTTTTTAAATGCATAGCCACTTCTATCAATGGAAATGAGGTTAATGCCTCAGGAAGAAGTAGCTTGCTATGCAGATCTCTAGTACGTTGAATAGCCACTTGCCTTATGATTGAATTCATGGTATTGCTTTGCTCTCATGCCTGTTCTTAAATTTCTCACAGAGATTGCTGCGTTGTTATGCTCCCCTTTATTTTTCCATTTTGTTTTTAAAACTAGTCTCTATTCTGTCTCTGAAAATAACTTTACTGCAAAGTTCTGTTCTCACAGTTCGGCAATTTGAGTAGTTCCAAAACATTTAAGGAGTGGAATCCCATTGCCTATAAAATTTGTTCTATAATTGAATACTGTCTTAAGACATGTTTCTGAAAATACTGTCTGAAGTCTGTAGTCCTTGTTCTGAAAATAGTATTTAAAGTCATTGACATAACAGAGTTCTGAGTGGAGCTATGGGAATGGCTCTGGGCTGCCATTTGCTGACAACAAAGTCACTGATGTGGACAGTTCAAAATGCTGGCATACTGTAGCTACTTGGAATTCTACTGTAGATTGCTGCATTATGGTCAAAAACTACAGCATGTTTTAAAATGTGGCATCTAGCTTTTCATCTGGAGAGTGTCGTTCAATTTGTGTTTTCTGAAAGTAAATTCTTTGGGTTTGAATGTAAGAGTTTGAATGCGGAGGTCATGGTCCTGATAAACACACAGAATGGCGTGGGACTGCAAAAGAAAATGCTGCTTTTGGTCTTGTGTCCTACAGTTCAGGTCATTATGTCATCATTTGTTGTGCTTTTCTCAGTTCTTCAGTGCGTTAATTCCATTATTGTGTTTGGTGATGGAATTTGTTTCCAGTTGTTTTCATGGTTTTGAATTGCATTTTAACCACGCTGTTGCTTATGGCTGTTATGTGCTGTTCTGTTTGTGCAATCCAACAGTTGGTGGAGGTGGTGGTGGTTGTTTTTGTTATTGTGGAACCAATTGGATTGCAGGTAATTTCATTTATCCAGTCTTTGCCATACTGTGGCTGTTCCTGTAGTCATTTGCCTTGTATTGGTTCCAGGGAAGCTGCCAGAGAATGTCGCAGAAAGAAGAAAGAATATGTCAAATGTCTTGAAAATCGTGTGGCTGTGCTTGAAAACCAAAACAAGACTCTCATTGAGGAACTCAAGGCCCTCAAAGATCTTTATTGTCATAAAGCAGAATAACTGTCTTTCATTTGGACCTTGTTTATTATGAACTTTAATCAAGGCATGAGAGGAAGCAATTCTACAGATTGCCATATGAACTTGAGAAAGAGACACTTGAGGCCCTTGTGGAACCCCACTTTTGCTTAATGTTTTCAGACTTATTTGGGAGATGCTCCAAAATTTGGAATTCAGTTGTAGTCTCCCTACTCTGCTGAGCTTTCTAATAGCATGCAAATGGCTTGTTGTTTGCACTTTTTACTTCTGCTTTTTGCAGGGAAGCTGCTAAAGAATGTCGACGTCGGAAGAAAGAATACATAAAATGTCTGGAGAGTCGTGTTGCAGTGCTAGAAGTTCAGAACCAGAAACTTATAGAGGAGCTTGAAACCCTTAAAGACATTTGCTCTTCCAAAGCAGATTAGTAAAAATATTTATTATACTGTGAACTGACCTGAAATATGTCCGGTTGCTTTATAAGGCAATACAAGGCCAATATGAATTATGGCTTTCTCTGTGTCATTTATATTATATTCCAACTTCCAACATTCCTGAAATGCTTTCCTGCTTTTTGTCAATTCATAGCTCTGCTTACAGGTTTTCCACGTTCCACCTTCCACCTCCCAAGGAGCCAAATGATTTAAACAAAAAAAAAAATCGAAGTCAAAAAAAACCATAATTTCTAAGAGCTGTTTCTTTGCCATATATTTACATGCTACTTTTTACGTGTACTGCTAGCGTTCAGCACATGCAAACTATTTTGCAGCTGTTTCAAATGAATCAAAGATAATGCATCCGGTAATATGAGAAAAATCAAATAACTCAAGGTATCTCAGGAAAGAGTTTATAAAAGAATGTTATGATTACATGTATGTATTAGCAAACTGGTCTACAAATGATTTTATGACATATTTTTATATTAGTTGCTTTGTGGAAAGAAAAAGTATTGTATTGCTATCACTGAGTGCCATGGCTAAAGATAGTTTTTAATAGAATGATGTTGTTTAACCTGTGTAGTGTCTGATTTCCTTTAAACATCTGGTTATTGGTGATGCTTTTAAACCTGTGAGAGTTTGGAGGGGGAGGAAGAGAACAGAAACTCCCTGACATGATGCTAAGAATATTGCAGGTATCTGAGAATGTCTGTTACGTGGTGGCTGTTCACTTACATTTTCTGTAGTCTGTGAAACATCTGGTTTATTAGAAGCCTATGTGTAAAAATTTGATTTTCCATCTTGAATAATTTAGATACTGGACAGTTGTAGCAGTTACCTGTACTGAAGACTGATGGCGCAGTTATTTTTACACTTTCTGCAAAGTACCAAGGGGAAATAAAGGTGACTTAAGGATGGAAGCTTTCCAATAAAGAGTAGCTATCTGCTGATTTACGGGGTTCCGGAATAATATATAGGTGAGAGCTGATCTTTCTTTTTCAAATAAAATTATGCTTAAGCCGGATCACAGGTTTGGTAAATGTGGTGTTCCAGCTGTAAACAATTGTCAATTGCTTCCGAGTTTTTGTTCATTACAGAAATAATCTGATGCTTGATGGCCTATACATTCTATGAGCAGAGTCTTTGGGAGCTTTGCTAGAACTGGGAGCACCATTGCCAGTGCTTAGAGTTCCTGCTTGAATGGGAAGTGCATGCTTTGAAGCAGGGGGAAGGAATTCTGCTGTTACTGAAGTCACTAAGATTTCTTCACTTAACTGAAACTGACTTTTAACCCATTTTTTCTTCATACTGCTTGGGGTGTGTGTAGGGTTATATATATACTTTTTTACTTTAAATCTTGTTTTCTGGCACTTTCCCAAATTACTTGAAATAAACAGGGTAACTTTCTCAAAACCCTTACAAAATCCTGTTGGGTACTTTGGTGAGACGATCTGTATGAACAGGTAGTATCTGTCTTTTCTTGTGGCTACAGCAGTTGATTTAAGAAGGAAGCTGACTGGCTTTTGGACCCATGGGCTCTGCTTCAGGTCTGGAACCAAAATGAAGGAAAATGTGTAATAGCTGTTTCACTGTGGAAACTCATCCTCAGCACTAAAGTCAGTGCAAGGGTCAATGTTTCTGTTGAAGATGGAGGATAGGATGAGTACAGGCTGTTACAGGTCTGTGTTGCAGCCTTGAGTCTCAACAGAAGTGTCCATCAAATTGTTTATTGTGGCTGTATCACTAGAATCTGTTTTCTGTTACAGGTAGGCCTTGTTCCTGACTCTCTGAAGGAATTTGGAAACTAACTGGAAGAAAACTTTGGCATCTACTTCATATCTTTGTGGTCTACAGTAATTTCTTTGCTAATGCTTTTAAAACGATTAATATGTGTTTTTTATTTAAATAAGTTATTCAGGGGAGCTGAGAAGAAGGCTCTGTCAATAAGTAAGCTGAACTTAGAGGTTCTCGGTGTGAGTTAGGTCATTCTGGAAATTCCATTTCATTTATTTATTTGTACCAGGGAAAAGTATCCTGTTTCCAAAAAGTCCAGTGCAGAAAACCTGGCTCATTTGGACTACAGCTAGGAAAAAAAATACTTGGTGCATGCTTCTTTCATTTTAAGTAATTTGGCCTGATAAATTATTGGCGTTATCAGAATTACCAAAACACTTCTGTATTTCTATGTGAGAATGCACGAGTTTGTTGGTAAGTAAGAATGTTTGTGTTTGGTAAATTAGAACCAAGGTGCATCTTGTGGTGTTGGAAATCAACTCTTAAATGAGCAAAGGAAGGCCTGCACAAATGCCAGGGATCTGTTGTCAAATGAACACTGGAAAAGTAGAGTACTTAGCAGTACATCCAGTTTTGTGTTAAGAAATATGCAATGAAAACCTTTAGAGTTCCCTGAGGCTAAAAGAAGATTTGAAGATGAGCTCTAAGTACCTCTGACATTTGTCAGAGCAACAATACCAAATTCTTATGTGAGAAGGGACTGCTGGATCTCTGTCCAAGCAATTGCAGTGTTAGGATGTATGGTAGGGTTTATGAATGAGTTCAGATTGTAAGGAAACACAATATCCATGACTGTTGTGGTTCACATGAGTACCAGGACTTGCCCTCTATCCTCATTTTAATTCTGCAGTTCTCTGCTGAATCAGGTTGAGAGGAAGAAAGAGACTGGAAGGAAGATTATATCTCTTAAGTACTTGGTCGTTGCACAGCAGCATAGGAAAGCGTGCTTGAGTCCAGTGGATTTGAATACTTGAAGTATATCAGTAATTTTTATCTGGATTCATGTGAGCTTGTTTCTAAAAACAACTTTGTCCAGAAAAAAAACCATATTCTTTTGTCCTTTTCTCAGTGGGCTGAACTTAGAGCAATTTTAGGCGTTTATTTTCCATGTCTTATCTATAACCTTACAGTTAGGATGACAGTTGCCATCTAACTTAAATTTACAGAAGTCTATTTAGAAAGCATGAAGTAAAAGATGTGTTTAAAATTTTTCTTCCCCGAAATTTAACTTTGGCTTCTGAAATAGCATACCTGTAAGTCAAGCCATCCTTTTGTGTACAACAGCTGTTGGTGATTGTTGAGTTACATGCTATTTTGAGTTTCCAGATATTCCAGCTGTAAGTGATTAAAGCAAAGTATTGTGTACAACTTGGAGCATAACAAAGAAAGTGGGTTGCTTACTTTCATTCAGAGACTTTGCTCTAAAACTGCCAAGTTACTCCTTGGTAGCAGAGGAAAAATAGTAACAGAGGATTTCAGTTTGCTTCAGCTGCTTTTTCATCTTTTTGTACTTCTCAGAGGAGGCATCCAGGACCCCTTGTGCCTACTTTGGCTCCTTCAGCAGCGCGAATGCCTGTCCGTTTAATTACGAAACTCTTTAATGAGTAACAGTTTGCCCCAATGCAGTTTTTGAAGCTGGGAGTTATTTGTATGTTGAGCTGCCTGAATTATTTCAGATTTCCAGTGCCTCAGATCTTGGTTGAATAGGTATTGTTCCTGTGACAACCAGATAGTGTACAAAGTATGACAATTCTCACCAAATTTGATATTAATTCAGAATTATTTTAGTATTATAATCCATTCTGATGCAATAAAAAGCAAGCTAGCTAAGTCTGACTTTGTGCTAACCTGAATTAGAAGTATCTACTGTCCTCTTCTGTACCAAAGATCATTTAATTTCCTCCTTATCTGAGAATCCATCTCAGGATTCTCAGGAAGATTTCTCATCCAGGAAGATTTCACTGCTAATAAGGGAGACTTCTTTCAAAGTATGCCTTGACCAAAAGATCAGAAACGACCTTCTGTCTCCTGCCATACGATTTGTAGATTTTATAGCTGTTTCCCATTTCCAGGAAAAAAAGAGGTTGCTAAGAGTGTACAAATAGCAACTGGAGATGTGTTCAGTCTTGTCTTATATCATAGCCTGCCGTCTTGTAGGACAAGTAGGGGAGGAGTCTAACTCCCTAGTGAAAACATGGCTCTGAGCTCTGGATGCCACTGTAATTTCTCTTGGAATCCGATCCTAATTGAGATCTGTGAATTCAAGGGCTTGGTGGGGTATAGGAGAAAGGCCCTTTGGGCACAGTATTATTACAGAATTGAGGGGTTGGGAGGGACCACTGGAGGTCATCGAGTCCAGCCCTCTGCTAAGCAGGTTCCCTGTAGTAGCTTACACAGAAAAGTTCCCAAGTGGATTTTAAGTATCTCCAGACAAGGGCACTCCAGAAGCTCTTGTGGCAGCTGGTTTGTGCCCATTGCCCTTTGTCCTGAGACGTGAGCCTGACTTTATAATGAGAGATTTTGAGTGTTGTCCAAGCTGTAAATTATCAGTCAGATTTTTTTCCTCCTGTACCAGTTAGAAAGATTCAAAATAACTGATTTATTTTTCTGTAAGAAGGTCATATTTCTGTAGTACAGAACTATTTTACCTTGCTGAATCCGTGCAACTGTTTGCAAATTGATTTGAGACAACTGGATAATCTGCTTTTACTTTATAGGAAAGTACAAATATACGTGAATATTTTTTCAAATATAATTTCTTGTTACTTGGGGGAAATGCTCTGTTCAAGAATGTCTTCAACCTCCTGAACAGGTAGGTGATGAGGAATGCAGTAGTCAGCTTCCTCTTACGCTAGAGTTCTGAGTCACAGCTGTGTTCTTCCACATCTGAACAGGGAGGTGGGTGAACAGTTAGAAGTCTCTAGGCTTCATGGCTGAGCTCTCTTGGCTTGCTCGAGCTGTTGCGAGTTGGGAAAATTGGAATTAAAATCAGCATATTGTGTGTGTAGGTGTGGGCTTACAGTTTTTATTTATTTATTTTGAGTTGTTCCTTCCCATGGATTTTGCAAGATCTGTTTGCAGTGCAAGTATCTCCTTGCATTGATAAAGCCTAGGGACTGCATGCTTTGTCTTCCCTCCCTTATTTATCTGTGGATTTCCCTCCATTTTCAAAGCAATGTTGATTTGTACTATTAGTCTACAGACTGGTGTGATAGCAAAATCCAATGTGATGCTTGTTCTAAATGGAGGATCACTTCAAAGAAAGCAGCAGCTGTTTTGGGTTGTGTCATGTTGCAATAGTCCTTCTCACTTCAGGTTTTGTGCTTGGTTGTGTACGTGACAAGAAAGTGTTGAATGCTGATGCTGAGCTATCAGCTATCTATGCAGCTAATAGAAATAGCTGCATTTTAGTTGTCAACATTCCCATATAAAATATGTTCTTTTGGGGTAACAGACTTCATTTAATTGAGAACTTTTAAGGCACTATGAGGCTCTTCTAGATGAGGCATGACAGTGATTTATTCCTGCAGAAGTTATACTAGTTTGAGTTTGGGCTTAAAAGCTGAAGAAAATGCGGTAATTAATTTCAGGGCAGACTGGCAATGCCAGGTAGCAAAAAATCACTTTATTCTTCTATATGCAATGAATCTTTTCTAATCCTTTTGCTTAAGTTTCTGGGTTTTTGTTTTTCTTTATCATTTTGCATATTACAACACAGGTGTCTGTGTGCACGAAGTTGTGGGGAGACAGAATAATGCGAGAGCTGAATTCTAGACTAAG